GAAGCAGGGATGAGAGGCTTCTGTCTTTAGGAAAAAGGACACAACTATCAGAGGAATCTGGAAGGCCTGTGATATCCATACTGCCAAGACAGAAAAAAACAAACCTCCAGCAGCAGACACCACTCGACCACGGAACAGTTCAGTTCAGTCGGAAGGGAGCTACAAAGATCATGGAGTCCAATGGCCTGAGCAGCTCAGGGTGAACCAAAAGTGAAAGCGTATGATGGAGTGTGTTGTCCAAATGCCTCTTGAAAACCAACAGGCTCAGGGCATCATCAGGAAACCTCTTCCCGTCTCTGACCACCCTCACAGTATGGGGATGTTCCCTGAAGCCCACACTGAGCTCCCCTGGCTCAGCTCTGTGCAGCTCCCATCCCACCACCACTTCCCAGCATCAGACCCCAGCAGCTCCCTCTGCTCCCCCTCCTCAGGGGCTGCAGGGCACAGTGAGGCTGCTGCTACCAGGCAACTCCGGTGCCCTCAGGCTCTCCTCACAGCACTGGTCTCCCAGCCCTGCTGCCCGCTCTGTGTCCTCCTCAGGACGCCTCCAAGGACCTTCATGTCCCCTTCACATTGTGCAGCCCACAAGACTCAAGGTGAGGCCATACCAGTGCTACACACAACACCAGGAGAATTCCTGCTTCTGACCAGCTGGCCATGCTGGCTGCTCCAGCCAACGGCTCCAGGCTGTGTCCGCACGCTCTGCATGCTGCCTCCACAGATCAGATGTCAGCTCAGAGCGCTGCACCTCCTCCCCACCAACAGGCAGATTTTCCCCTCAGAGGCTGTAACGCTCACTGGCAATCAGTAAGATTCTCCTCCAAAATCAAATTCTAGCCAGAATTTCCTCCTTGAGGTCCTTGCTGAGCACTGACACCCACCAGCTTTGATGGCCTCCAGCTGTCCCGAAAACCCTGCTGAGCATATGCCGTGTCCAGATGGCAGCTTGAGCATTTGTCCTGCTGTCCAGCAAGCTGTTCACTGAAACAGCGCTTGTCCTTGTGGTGGAAAAACAGAGAGAAGCCTCTCAGTTCTTCTCTGGGGCTAACAGGAGCCTTCCTGCCAAGCAGCTCAGACCCTTCTCCTCCACAACTCCTGCAGAAGCTCCTGGAGGCACTGCCCCTTGCACCGACGGTGACACAAGCAGGTACTGGCACTGCAAACAGGAGCCGATAGCTGTAACAGGCTGGCACACACCGCACACTCAGAGGTGTGGTGCTGACAGCGTGCAGGGACAGCAACGATCTTATATTAAAAAAAAGAGAGAGGAAGATTTGACTGGGATTATTAATGATGTTATTTTTAATGTTAATTGGGGGATTAAAACTGATTTCCTGTAATTAAGCCAGGTTACACAAATGTTTGAGTAGTCAGGTATAAGAGCAGACATGCATAAAGTGGATATTTAACATGACAGTTTCGTTTCTGACACTTGGTAGGATACTTTTTCCAGCTATTATTGGAGATTCATACAAATATATTATTAACAATTTCATATAAAGGCTAGAAAATACTTGCTTCGGCCCAGTTAACAAAGGATTTCATGCAGCACGTCGATGCCCAATTCAGGTTAGGTAAGATACTGAGGCAGCCAAGCGAGCAGTCACAGCCCAGCCCAGTCCGGGTGCCCTCTTTCAGGCACAGGCTTTGCTGCCTACAGTGAACAACGTATGGCAGCAGCTGTGAGTTCTGAGACAGCTATTTTGAAGTGTGCTCAGCTTTTCCTACAGTATATTTTACATGAAAAAATGCCCAGGGCTTGGAGAAAGCACGGCACAGTTATCTTTGATGCGCTTTCTGGTAATAGAAACAACTGAGATACTGAGGCTGCATTCATGAGCAGAATGCTCCAAGCAACCTCCTGGCTCACAAGCAACCCATACCAACGTACCACTAAAAGACAACAAATTCAAAATGGCTTCAGCTGCCTCCACGTGCCCACACACCGAAGTCTAATAAACTGGAGCCTCTGCTGCCACAAGTTTGGGATGCGCTGAGGGCTGAGTGCTGCTGCTTTTATTGCTTCCTGGAAGAAGCACCTTCCAGGAAAAATTAGAGATACGTCCTCCTATTGCAATCACCTCAGTGCCTCCTCATTGCATGGCGTGCAGCTGATTTATCTCTAAATGAAAACCACACTCCTCTTTTTTGGTTGCTTCCTGTTTGCCACATCGCTTCTCTTGTTTGCCTTGATTCTTCTGAATTCCAAGCCTGCCTCATGCTTGTAGCAGCTCCCACTGACACCCTCCTACAAAAACTTGCAAAGGAATTCTGTACACGCGACAAGGACAGCTCCATGAATTCAGCTTCCTACTCAGCTTTGCATATCCTTATATTAGCTAAATTAGTTTTCTCCATAGCTTACTTATGGCAGTGTGAGAGAAGGTAGTAGAATTAACATGATAAATCAGCAGTCATGAATTGAAAGCACAGTATTACTTAGCTAAAGGAACTGTATGCAGAAGAGAAACTGTATTTAAAACACAGCATGAAGTGGACTGCATTTCTCTCTTCAGAACAGAAGATACAGATGTGTTGATGCACACACCCCTCTGACCTCAGTCTCAGACAACCAGCATCATGCCTAGAACGATCACATCACTGATTTTAATGGACATGGTAACACTCATGATGTCTGCAATAGGCAAAGTCAGTACAGTGATGATCATGCAAAATAATGAGCACATGAATTTCAACTGACTATACACTGGCTGCTGTGGTAAACTGCTATTGAAGTTCAGCTGGTTAGCACGGGGTGTCTTCTCACGATTGATACTTTGATGAATGGGAGCACTAGGACAGGCTGTGCAGAGAGGTGTACTGCCCTTCTCTGAGGGGGTTCAGAACCCACACGGGCACTGTGCTGCACAACCGCTCTGGGGAACCTGCTCTGGCGAGAGTTGTAATGACAAGAAATTGTGAAACAGAAGGAAAAACCCTCCTACAAGGCCTGCGCCACCTCTAGCAATAAGACAGGACATTTTCACATTGGCACATCAAGGCTAAGAATGCAGGCAAACCAAATTAGTCGTATTCAGTGCCCACATTTACAATGCTGAGTAAAGGCTCACCCAGTCATCCTCCAAGAATGACACTCCCCTTCTACCATCAGCAATTCCTTTAGATGTAGAGAACAAATATGATCACACTTCCTTTACTGGTCACTTTTATAGACGTTTTAAAATAATTATGCCATCCAGATAATGCTGCACTCAAATGCAGAAGTGACATTTATGCTCTGGAAAGGAAAGCTCAACACTTTAATCCACAAGCAGCAGAGTGCACACCGTCCCTCAAACACCAACCAGAGGCACTCTGAGGACATCACCCAGCATTCTGGCAGCACAAGAGAGAAATGCACCACGTGTTTTAAAGAGCCACCATGTAAGACACAGTTTTCATACAAAAAGAGACCTTCAACTCATTGTACACATTGTTCTCAAATGATGTCCTAAAACATACACAGAGAAAAAAAAGGAAACAAAATCTCAAGATTTCAAGATGGCGATAGTGTCGTACCATCACACCAAAGAGGAAGTTCTTCCCAAAGCCACCCCTCCGAGTCTTTAAAATGCCTCCCAACCCTGCTGAGCTTGTCATAGGAAGGAAGCTTGTGGGTTAACAATAAAGTACAACTTGCCAAAAGCTCTCCTTCCACCTTCCTGTAAGGAGCTCCTGTCCCAGCGCTCCTGAGGAGTCCTGGCACTCACTGTGTGCATCCACTGATGGCACACAAAAGCAGCTCTCACAGGGCAACTGCTCACTCTCTGATTCTCAATCTTGATCTCAAAGAAACCTATGAACTGCCTATCAGCCACAAACACAGGAATTGAAATTCATAACATCTCAAAGCTAGCAGAGTGCTTTTCTGCCACACCATCATCTCCCACGCTCCCCACAACCCACAGACTATAACCTCTCTTTATTTCATCATTTAAACATGCCAGGAAAGATTTCTTCTCTTTCCCTGAGAAAATAATTATCTCATAACTGCTGCTTTCCTTCAAATTTGCATTTCCAAATTGAATTTAGCAGCTCTATTTCTTATCAAAGATGATCTCATAGATATCAATTCAAAACCCGGGGATTTTCTCCACTTGCATTCCATTCTGACAGGAAGCTGCAACAAGAATACTGTCTGGTTGAAGAACACGTATCACCTCTGCATTTGTTCTTAGACATCATGGCCACACAAAGGCTCCCATGCATTTATACTATTTAAAAATCAAGCCATTTACACGCCAAAAACTCCTAATCTTTATAAGATGTCCCAAAAATGTGACTTTTGAATCCATGTTCTTTCTAGCACATTAAAGCCAGTGGAAATTCCAGATCACTGTTTCCGAAAATTTCTGAATTCTGAAAATTCTGGTTTTCCAACTTCAGAAGTTTTACAAATCACCACAATCCTGAATCACAGGTTTTAAAATAAATCAGAAAGTGCACGTTGTCACTTGACAGCAAGATAAAGCCACAAAGACACAGAAGCTTTTCACTGCTTCGTATCAAAAGAACAGCTCTTCTAATCATCTGCCTTCCTTAACAAGGCAGCCAGCCCCATCCTCTGACAGAAGGAATAATGACTGCACTCACACTGTGGGAAAATACAGACTCAAACTATTTGAAATACAAATGCCTTCATCTCTCCATTTTCTGTCCATCACTACAACCAGCTATTCACCCACGCTAAGCATTCTGTGGGACAGTTTACATTCCATGATCCTCCTGTTCATCTCGTCCCTCAGGAAACCCAATCTTCTGCTGCAACAGTGGCCCAGATTTCAAGATACCCAGTGAGCAAGAAGATGCATCCCTCTGTCCAACCCTCAGCACGAGGCATGCACTCACAAACCTATATTTAAGACAGAATGCATGCATTAGAACACATCTGAACTGCAGTTTGGAAAGCGAAGGCTCTGCTAAGCACTTCCCAGTTAAAAGCCTGCCACTGTGCTTACACTCAACTTTTTCTTATTCTGAAAAATAACTTGCTCTCTTACCATCATGATTGGAATTTCCCAGGGTCCACGGCTCATCTGAATCAAAGTGAGTGTCCCCTCCTATTCCTGGTCCAGGAAAGTAAGCGTGAGCTAGGAATCCACCTTCTCCATCAAACGGAGAGCTGTCTCCATGGAAACCAGAGGCAAAAAATATCATAATATCGGCCTCCTTCCTGTCATTTTTAATTTCGTGGTAGGGGACCTCTTCAAAGGTAAGCGGTGTCACTCTTTGCCAAACATCAAACGCCTGACGAATGGCTCTCCTTGTATCAAGCTCTCCAACCTTGGGGGTATAGTTGTGCACACTGTGAATGAGAGAGAAGGAGCATTTAGAAGTGCAGATTCCATTCAAGACTTACTGTAACTCCAGTACCCATCCACAGAATTTTTAGTCACTGCAGACTCTACTTTGGCCATGACAAGTTTTGCTGTTACAGACAGAATTACCAACAGACTAACAGCCTTGATCTGGACCACACTTACTAGTAAAAATAATCCCAGTACTGAGGTTCATTTTATAACAATTTGTGTGTGCTGACACTCTTTCAAATCCTCACCAGTAGAGTTGAGGAATTAAGTTTAAAAACAAGTAAATTATTCCATATTTCTCCTGAAAACACCATGCTAAAACAGAATACATCATACTAAAACACCCAACTAGTAAAATTCTTTTTGAGAAACAAACCTTTCAGAAATCTTTTCAGATTAAAGGTCCACTACTGCGAGCCCCAGTCCATGACAGCTAATGCTGGAGTTAATAAAAAATACTTAGGTCCCTCTTAGAGACATGCCTCCCATTTATTGCTGTGGAAACTACAATAAGTACAAAGAACACAATAACATTACCTGAACGAACAAATCCTCAACTACAACTATTTTTCACTACAGTCATCATCAGCTCTGCACCTTTGCCAGTGAATGAACAAGAGCCTGTATGAGCTGTCTAAAAATCCGTGTGTCTATCGTGGCACTGTCACCACTGCTGAAATGTACCACCACCAACTCACTGTGCTCACATTCACTGTTTGGCCTCCCTAAATGTTCACCAAGTGTTGATGAATGTCAGTGGGTGTCATTTTTTCCACACAGAAGAGTTCAATTCCACACCTTTGCTCCATACTTGCTCCCATGTCAGATGTCATTTTGTCAGACTGCCCCTCTGCTACTGTCTGTCATACAGCAGCAAAATGAGGTTCAGCCTCTACTGCCATGTCATCTTGCACCTCTGGCGTTGTGGAACAAAAGCATAAAATAGGAGGCATTACTTTCAGAGTACATCTCATAGCTTAACTGCAGGTAAATCTTTCATACTTGTAAACTTCAGCTTAAAGAGCACTGCTCTTGGAGTTTTGGTTTTGTTTGGTGGTGGACATGTAGCAGACTCATGGCCCAAAGAACATGAAACATCCATCTATGGTAAAGCAACCACTGCCAGTGTTTAATGAAACTAGTTCAATTTAATAGAATGATTGAGTGATGAAACATCCTGCAATACATTCAGTGGTAAAATAAGACATCCAAGACTGCAATGTCACATATTTTGCCTCTCACATCTTCACATATTTCAGTTAAAGCTGTAAGTTTTGTTGAAAGATTTTATCTAGGCCCCAGAAATAATCCCTTCTACCACTCTCAGCTCTCCCTCATTGTTGAGTGAAAAAATTCTCCTCCTCCTCCTCCTCCTCTCTCAGCAGAATTACTGAAACTCCACAGACCCTACTTCTCCTTCCCTTTTCACAGTCATCTCTCTTGTTACACATATACTCAGGCAAAATCCCCACGGCGTCATTCAGATTTCTACCTCTTCAATACCAATCTCTTTCTTTCTATCTAAACTTTGCTCATCCATATCTTCTCCTTAGTGTTTCATTCCTAAGTATTCCTCCCCCAGAAATTAGAAGGCCATACTTCTGGAACTCTATCTGCAAGGGCTTTACATTTTCTTCTCATAGTGACAAACCACTGTCGACATCGTTCAGCATCATTCAAAAGCAAAGGATCAAAACAACCAACACAAAGGTTTCTCTGGAAAATAGCCATCACCACATAACACCCATTTTACACTTGTTAATTACTTCAGCATCTTGGCTTAGCAGGTCTAAGTCTGGACAGAAGCAGGAGTTTCACTATGAGAGCAAAATTAAGAACTCTGCAAAAACAAACACACAGTAGAACGTTGCACATCAGTAGAGGGAGAAAGCATTACTCCCTTAGACAGTAACATTCCTTCTGTTTAAGGGGACCATTTGTTGAGAGAACATATTTAAGGGTTAGAGTCCTGCTGACCCCAATCTTAGCTGCAGTTGCAAGGGTTACTTTTCATCAGCATTTAGGCTTCTAAGGCAATGCGCACCCTTAACAGACACAGAACACTTTTTTTCCCCTAAAAATAAAGAGTGAGTGAGCAGACATACCTGTAGGTTATGTGCTTCTGCCTCCATTTTTGCCCTGTCAGTGCATAGCGCTTTTTCCTCCGGCTGTGGCCTAAGTGGGGATGATCAGGAACTCCACATCGAGGCTTCTTCATCCACCTAGAGGAGCCAAAGAGCAAAAAAGGAAGCCACTGAAGAGTTTGGAAAAGAGATTCAGAAGAACTCAATGGTGACCAGAAGACCTCCTGGGAACAACAATGCTGAGAAAGGCTCAGCATTCCCTCCTTGTGCAGGGCTATAAACTCCATCTCTGCTGACATTCCACACACATCAGCACATCAAAAAGGCTTCATTTTTCCTTTTGGAAAGAGATACCAGGGACAGGTAGCCCTCATTCTTGAAAACAACTGAACAATGGGACCACAAGGGACCCTGTGTCCAGGTGCCTGTGTGCTGGGATCAAGTTCTTTTACCACCTACTGCACCTGCTCTACCTCTGCTGAAGTGCTCCTGCCCTGGTCAAAGCAAAAGAAAACCAAAACACCACCAACAAAAGCGGCCCCAAGGCTGAACTCACAGCACAAAACCAAACAGGTGCCAACGCGCCCCTCCTGCCTGCGGCTGCTGCAACCACCAGAACAGGGGTCTCAGCTACCCAACTCCTGCAGCTCCTCCCAGTGACCCCTGTCTCTTTGGGTGGCACTCAGAACGTAGGAAACTCCTGCTAATACACTGCAGTTTTTAGCATATCTTTACACAAAGTGCAGTGTGAATTAGGATTTTCTTTCATGAGCTTCTCACGAACTGATCTTCTCAACGTTACTCTCCTCAGGCCCTGATTACACTGTCTGGAAATTATCTTCTATTTTATCTCTTCCAGTATCACTCAGAAGACAGAGGCCAGCTGCAATACACTGCTCTGGGCTTTAAGAACTTCTGGAGTCAAAGCTCCTACAGCATCAGCACTTGCAGAGCTGTCAGCAGAGTTTCCTCACGCACAGCTGCCTCGTTCCTCCTTGGATCCCACTGTGCTTAGGCTGGACTGAACTTCTGTGTACCACAGCTTATTCCAGAGTTCAGCCACACGTTGCTCAAAATACACCTAATACAAAATGCCTGATTACCTGGTGCCCTGATTCTAGCTGGGTTAGTTATTTTTCTTAACACACCAGTCTTTTAATTGCTGCAGAATTGCGTGGACAGAGTCAAGGGCATTTCATCTTCTTGCGCTGACCCATCAGTGAGGAGGTGAGGCATACAGAACCTGGACAGCTGACCAAAACAGACCAAAGGGATATTCCATGCCAGATGGCTTTACATTCAGTGATAAAAGCCAGGGGGAGAGAAGGAGAGTTTGTCTTCCCAAGAAACTCTGCTTTCCCGGCAAAGGAAAGTAGCGTGCAGCTTTTGCTTTACCTAGCACAACACCTCAGCTCACCAGTTCTTGCACTTTACCCTTCTAATTCTCTCCCTCATCCCACATGGGCACAGCAATCCAGCAGCTGGGTGGTGCTGAGCTGCAGGCCAGGTTACACCACACCACCTGGCTGCAGGTATATTTTTAAATAGGACACCAAGAGCATTCAGATGCCATCAGATGTTCCACTTCACACTGTTTAAGTACAGCCTACTGCACTTCCTCCAGCTGCCTGGCATACAGAACCAGGGGTAGTTTCCTACAGAAGGGACAGCCAGTTCTCGACCAGACACAGCTGCCTTCCGCAGTTCAGGCTCCAAGTCCTCCACTAGCCTCTCCTACATAGAGGAAGCTGTCACTCTCAGTCCACTATCGTTGAGCAGATGGCAGTGGTACCTTTAAACTCCCTGAGGTAAATAATAAAACAAGACAGCTGTGTCTTGCAGCTCAAGGTGAGGGACCTACACAACAGGCTCAAGATGATGCAGAACACATACAAGACACGTCCAACACAACTATTTCCTGGTTCTCCTCAGGTCTCTGTGATTATGAGCAATATAATAGTGAGCACTTCTGTTAGGTGCTAGTGCGCCTTCTCTCCCCGCACACTCCCAGGATTATATGCTTGCTTAGCTGTTAAATCAAATTACTATTCAACCCACTTACTGCAGGCAGACAAAGTTTGCTGAGGTGCAGTTGAATGCAGAGTAGGAGGAGGCTGTTCTAAGTATTCTCCCACGCTCTTTTCACAGGAAATCATACATCCTCAACCTGTTCTCTCAAGACATCCCCCCTTGTCCCTCTGGTGCTGAGCACCACCTTCCCTATAAAAACCAGTAGGCCACAGCACCTTCCTTCCCATTTCCCACTCCCACTGGCAAGGCTTGTACGACAGCTTCCACACACTTGGACACCACTCTTGGAGGAAAGCCCAAGCCCAGGGTTTGTGTGTGGAGGAGATAAAGAACATGAGGCGTCTATAATAAGTGTAAACAGAAGATACAGAATTTTCTGCCTGACAAAGAAGCCATAGAAACTAATAATTTTGCACGCTGTCCAGTTGCACACCAAACCTTTAAAGGCACAGAGCTTATGACACCAACAGAAGTGACAGAAAACATCACACATCCAATCTCCACACCTATATCACAGATTGAAATAACAACTTGGCAAGCACCTCACTAACTTGGAGCCCTTAGAGCCAGTCTGCATTGCTGGTTCTTCTCCCTTTCCTCAGCTTCCAGAACAGTATGACTTTCCATAGCTGGGTCCGAGGAAATAACAGAGCCCAATGAGGCCCAGCAAGACTTTCCCCTCCCATTCAAAATGCAGGCTCACAGCAGTTAGGACTTCTCTTTTCTTTAGCCTGACTCCTAAGAAGGTACTCCTGCTCATCCCTGTCATACAACAAATGGGCCTACTGGTTACACTCAGCAAGAGCACAATCCAGCACAGCACACACACATTTGGTTGCAGATTTCATGTCTTTGGAGACTTGTTTCAGAAGATTTTTTCACCAGTCTCCATGCAGTGATAAAACCTGCCTCGAGTACAACAGGGGCACCACCTTCTTCTCCTCCAGAAAAACCCTTCTGCTTACTAAAGCAGGGGCTTCCACATACAGTTTGCTCCCTCCACCACCATCCAACAAGGCAGCAGCTGCTCATGGCCCCTTCTTCACCACCCTATGTCAACTCACAAGCGTTCTACCTTCAAGCTTCTATACATCAGCTACACATACAAAGCCTTGCTCTCCTCTAGCTCTGCTTCAATGTAGACTATCACAACTCACTTCAACTCAGAACTGGAGCTCTCCAAGGCAGCATCTACACAGATCCACTGCTGCAATTCATTAAGAAATACTCTACCATTGGTCATTTCTGGAGCAAGCTTTTCACCTAGGTCTAGACAGAGATGCAAGAAATGAAACCCTTGAGGTTCACTGCCTTCAGAAGCCTCACACTTCACCTTTGCACTAGCAACAGGGATCCCCATATAAAGAATTTTATTTAACAAGAGCTTCTCACACTCCCAAACAGCACTGCAGACAATAAGACCAAGCTGGAGTTGTCCACATGTTCATTAGGGACACCTCCTTGTGAACACTGAGACTTCTCTGATGGGACTCAGTCAGGCAAATCTATCTCTTCTGAAGACTTCTGGCACCTGGGACAACTACCGAGGTAACAAGACAAGGCTGTGAGAATGAAAGGTAAAATGAGCCCACATTAATCTTACTCAAGAGTTGTTTGGTCCAAAACTCCTGTTACTGGGATCCCATAAAACTGTTGCATAGTGGCCACTGCAGACTGCACAGCTTTTCCTGACTGCGCGGCAGACATTTGGCTGTCAGATGGAAGCAAGTAGCCATAAGTTTTTAACCAACCCTGAAAAAGAAAGAAACAGATCATAAGTTTCTGCCACGGTAAGTTTTCAGCTTAACAAATCGAAGCATTTTTCAAAAGAAAGTGTGACAAACTAGCAAAATAAATTCAACAGCCTCTCTTTTTCAGTGAGCTCTGGGAGCAGCAGTGGATCTCTGGGAAGACTCAGCAACCACCTGTCCTAACTGGATCACGCAGGCCTGGCAATTGGAAACAGCCAGCGTTTTCACTGTCTAACTGGGGAAGACTCAGGTTTGTGGTGCAACACAAATGCCCCAGGAGATCCATTCCTTGTGCAGGCTGCACTCATCCCAGAGACTTCCTGCACGCCTTACCACCAGCCCATCACCACCAGGCTGCTCAGCTCCCACAGCAACATGCTCCAAATAGCTCTGCTGCTCCCAGACCACAGCTCAGAGCCAACAGCCCAGCAGCCCTAGGCAATTCCCATGACTACAAGTTCTGCTTTATGCCTGCTTTGAGCACAGCAGCATCTCCCCCAATAAACAACTCAGAAAGTTAAGCAGGACACTCAGTATTGTTCTCTCAATTCTGTACCTTCCCACAGTTTTCAGAGCAGAACAATAGAAAGAAGCTTTGTTTATCTCTACCCCCTGAAACACAGCCTTAGATAAAACCACACCAAACTTGCAGGCCAGGGGCAGCATTTTCAAAACCAGCCAAGTAAACTAAGACTTTCTTTTGTATTACTTTACTATCATGAGAAAAAGTCACTTGAATTCAATGTTAAATAAAAAAAAACACAAATGAAAACAAAAACAAACAAGAAACCAATTCTGAATGCTGGCTTGCTTTCACAAACTTTCAAGGTAACATTCAAGAAACGCACAGCAGTGGGAGTTTGTCTGGCCAATACCCAACAGAAATCAATGCAACCCAGCTGACAAACTCCCCAACATCCAGAAACACAGCAAAGAAACCTAAAGCATTAATAACCAAACAGAAGGATGCCCAACTGCCCTGGCACAGTCTATATCCCAAGAGAGATTTATAAAACCTTCATAACGCCCGGCTGTCTGAGGCAACACTTGCTTTGGCCACAATTACTATAAGCCCTACACAGAGCCCAGCAGCTCCTCCAGCCAGCAGGACGACATGCCAGCCACCAACTAAGGAGCGGAGAGCAGGGAGGGCAGGAGGCAACATCCGCCTTCACCTGATGCAGTGCAGGAGAGGAGCGAGGGGGGACGGCGAGTCCCATCACGAAGATGCAAGGGAGACAGAAAGGCTTTGCTTCCTCAGCTGGAAAAACAGCACAATTCAGCAGCAGGGCTGGCGGTGCCAAAGCTCACGAAGTAACTGGACTCACAGCGTGGCCACCAAAGGCATCACTAACAGCTCGAATCACAGAGCTGCTCGGATACCAGGCATTTTCCGCGCTGCCCCGCACCGCAAGTTGGCCTCCGACACGCACAGGACGCCCGGAGACACCGACCGCCGTCCCACCAAAGCCCGCTGTCCCCGAGCACCGCCAGCCCCGCTCCGCCGCAGCCCGGCCCAGCCGGCGGGTCCAGGACACGGCCCGGCCCGGCCCGCAGCACCGCACCGCACGCTGCCCTGGCAGTTCGCAGCGGGGCACAGCAGCCGGTTCGGCCCCGAAAGACGAAGGCGCTCAGGGCAAGAGCTCGGGCACGGCCACGGGAGCCGCCGGGCAGCGAGGCCGCGCCTCCGAGCCCCGCCGGGCAGCGGCCCTCAGGGCGGGCGGGCGGGCGGCGCGCGGAGCGGCGGGACCCGGAGCGACGGCCCGAGCGGAACGGCGCGGAGGTTTCGGGGCCGCTTCCCGGCCCGGCACCGGCCGCCCACCCGCCCCGCTCCCGGCCGCGGAACTCCGCGGCCTCCCGGCACGGCCGCCCCGCTCCCCTCAGCGACGCGACCGGCACCCACCCGGCCGGTGCTGGTATCGGCGGCGGCGCGGAGCAGCGCGCAGAGCAGCGGCAGCAGGGAGCCCGCCGCGGCCAGGCCCCGGCGCCGCCTCGGCGCCATGGCAGCGCGGCGGGGCTCCGGGCAGCGCTCCGGCCCGGCGGCGCGGGCTGCGGCTGCGCGGGGACGGCGGAACTGGGAGGCGGCGGCCGCGGCGACGCCTCTTCCTCCGCTGGGCCGGGCCGCGCGGGGCGGCGGCCGGTGCTTGTCGGGGTGGTTCTCCGGGCCGGCCCCGTGCGGGCGGTTCCCGCTGCAGAAAGCGCCGGGGGGCTCGCGGCGGCCCCCGAGTCCCGCGCGGCACCGCGGCTGCAGCAGGGCTCCGTCCCTCCGTCTCGCCTCTCCTCGAGGAACGCGCTCCCTCCCCGGTCTCGGAGGCGGGCGGAGCTCCGCACAGCCACGCGCGGTGCCGCGGATGCCTCGCGTGTCTTTTGTGCGGCCGCAGCGCGTGAGGCAGAGGACAGCGGTGCAGCTCTGTTGGCCGGGAGTCCAGAAGCACGGAATATCCCGTGCTCTGCACAGCAGCGCCCCGACCCAAACCCTACGGCTGAGCTTGGTGTCCCAGCGCCCCCTGAGCCCCAGCAGCTCCGGCTGTGCCGCGCCCACCGCCCTCTGGGGGCGGCCTCTCCCTGACCCCAGCCGCCCCTCCCCTGGCGCAGCTCAGTGCAGACGCAGCTTCGAGCCGTTCCCTCAGCTCCTGTCGCTGTCACAGAGCAGAGCTCAGCTGCGGCTGCCATGAGGGCTCCCGCCAGCCAGTGCCCTAGTATCGATATTAGATGAGCTATGAGGACGAAATTCTTCACCATCGGGGTGCTGTGGCACTCAAACAGGCTGCCCGGGGAAGCTGTGGGTGCCCCATCCCCGGGACTCTTCCAGGTTGGATGGGGCTTCGAGTAACTTGTTCTAGTGGGAGATCATCCCAGATGGGAATAATTACACCATGCACTTCACTTCTAGAGAGAAGCAGGAAGATATTTATTGAAATGATTTAGTTTTAAGGTAGTGAATGGGTCGTGGCGACCCCCACTACAAGCTGGCGGATAAGAGGACACAGCACAGCCCTGCCAAAATGGATGATGCAGTACCAGTGCATGGCAAGCTGGAAATGGGACAGCAGTGTTTTCCCTCACAGTCAAGAAAGCAAGCAGGTCCTGGGTTGCATCCAATGTAGCATGAGCAGTGGGGTGAAGGACGGGACCCTGGCCCTCTGCTCTGACGTCTCACTTAGAGCACTGCATCCAGATGCCTTCCTCAGTGCAAAAGAGACATGGATCCATTGTAGTGTATCCAAAGGAGGACCAGAAAAATGGGAAGGAACCCCTCCATGACAGGCTGAGAGAGAAATGGGGCTTTGCAGCCTGGAGGAGATGGCTCCAGGGAGACCTTGAGAGGATCAAGTTGTGCAGAAGCCCCAGGCGCAGGAGGTACAGCAGTGTACACCTCCTCATGGTGTGCATGAGGCAGAGGGCAGGAGGGCTGGTTCAGTCCAGCCTAAGTACAGTGGGATCCCAAGAGGAACGAGGCAGCTGTGCAAGGGGAAATTTGGCTGACAGCTCTGTGAGTGCTGATGCCAAAGGAGCTTTGGATCAAGAAGTCCTTAAAGCCCAGAGCAGAGCATTGCGGCTGGCCTCTGTCTTCCAGGAGATAACGGGAGAGATTTAATTTTCTGGCAGTGTACTCAGGGTCCAGGGAGAGTGACATTGTGGTGATCAGAGCTCTCATGAAGCTCCACAAAAGAAAAACATTGCACTGTGTGCACACTGCAGGAAGGAGGGCAAGGAAAGTGGGAAGCTCAGTAAGTGGTGCTCATGGACTGATTTAGCAGTGGGCTGTTAAGAGTGTAGGGGCGCTATGGCTAGGCTGAGGTTGGACTTCATCATCTTGAAGGCTTTTCCCAACCTGAGCAATGCTTTGATTTTAAGCACAGCAGCTGCAGACAGGCAGGGAATGCAGAAGAAGTGAGGGCTGTGCTGGTAGGCCAGGCACTGAGGCGTGGAAAGGGGAACCCAGCTCAGAGCTGAGCAAGCAAAGGATGCGGGTGTGTGGGTGACCTGGAAAGAGTTCAAGCAAACAATGTGCCAAGGGTATCCCTTCTCTTCTGCTCTCACTGAGCGGCTGAAGCAGAGTGCTGGTCCTCACTCTGTGTAAGGCAGCAGCAGGCAGGGAGGGCTTTTGGAGATGAATGCAAACCTAAAATCACTGTCCTCTTCCAGAAGGAGCTACGTCAGGAGATGCTCCAGCAGAAGAAGTTTGCCCGCAGACTGATGATGGACAAGGACAAATCTTGCCTGAGCTCAACCACTTATGTGAACTTGGTTGTGGAAGTGGAATCCAGCTCTCTGCAGCCTCACAAACCAGCTGCCCCTCCTCCAGGCAATACTCTCCAGTCTGGCCAACACAGAAGGCTGAAAGTGGTTTCAGTTCAACAAGACCTTCAGGGAGATTCAAAGAGCACAGGACATGCAATGAAGTTGCCTGACAAGTTGCCCAAACCTGAGTCAGGCAGGGAAGGCTCCAAGCTCCCTGGAAGCGTCCATGCTGATGCTGCCTCAGCAAGAAAGCCACGCTTCCCTGGAGATCATGAGTTCAGAGCTGTGTCTGAAGACCAGAGTCTTCAAGAGGCAGTTAAGACTCAGGTGACAGAAGCGTTGGAGGGAGTGAAGGCGCTGGATCCATCTGCCACTGCCCTAAGTAGAGCCTCCTTCAAAATCGGACAAAGATTGCTAGGAAATTCAGATAGAACAGAGCCTTCAGAGATCTCCTCTTTCAACCCTGAGCAGGAAATTGCACTGTTGGCAAGGAAAGTTGTAGCGAGTGTGCTGCACAATGTTGGGAAGCCCTTGAAATCTAACAGAAAGGAAGCTCTGACAAAGCATCCTCGCAGACTTCCCTTGACAAAGCCATCCGAGAAGCTTCTGGAAGTGCCTGCAATATGTTGCAATCCTTTGTAGCTTCTCACTCTGAGCCAGAGTTTGGTGCTCAATATTCTGAAACCATTGAACTTCCCAACAACCATCTCCCTCAGTGGCAGCCGCAGCCATCCCAGGTGCCTCTGTCATGGCAGAGCAGGACAGAAGGACGAGGCTCATCAGAAGAGCAGAGCCTGGCAACAAGGCAGAGAGAAAAGCTGCCCGTGATCCAACCAATGCCAAGCACTGCTGTGGTCTCTCATCTGAGTTGCAGCATTGTAAAGCATTGAAAATGCCATCTCCAAAGTGAAGGAGGAGGAGGAAGAATTCCTTCCTGATTATGCCAAATCCATTGTCACTGAAGTAGTTTCAAGAGCAAAGAAAAGTGTAGAGAATGAGCTGTCGCAAAAGCCTTAAGCGCAGCGCTGTCTGCCAACACCACGGCATCTGGGACGGTGGGCTCCGTATCAGAGCAGAGCTCTAAGGCTCCTGGCATGCCAGAAGACCTTCAGAAGTCCCTGGATTGCACCTCTGTGCCCACAGAACCTTTGGCAGGCACATGGGAAACCCCTACAGAGCGGAGACCATGGAATATTACTACAGGTACCCCTTCCCCACAGGCCTGCAAGTCTGCCAGACAGCCCGTTCCTCTAGAGGTGTTGAGTCCCTTCTTGAGGAGCTTGCATGGAATCATGCTTCTCTGCAGAATTCCCTGGGGAGACAATCAGTTCCACATGGAAACAAATCAAATTCAGAACAGGAAACAGGCCTCTTTAATTACAGCCAAGATTCTTGCTGTGTCTTACCTCTGTCTGCCACAGCATTGCCCTTTAGGTTTTACTTTCCCAGAAGACTCCCTTAACACCTTGCAAGAACAGAGAAAGAGATCACTAGTCAAAAGAAACATAAGCAGCACCACTGCATGAAGTAGCCCAGCTCCAACAGTGTCCTTTGCAGGAGTCAGCTGGGGGGTGGTCTGCACCTAAAAGGTAGCCTGGACTTTTCAGTTGGGCTGTCAAGGGCCCGTCACAGCTGACTCAGCAAAGGCAGAGAAACCAATCACAAGAGCCTGTAGCTCTGCTGGTCTCACCTGTGTGGTTGCCTTTCTAAGCAGTTAGATGGGACAAGGAAGGAGAAGCCTTCTTGCTTCAGAGCAGTGGCAGTGCCTCACTCCTGGACCAAGAGGCAAGGAAATTGACTCTGGGACATCCCCATATCACAGAATCAGAGAATTGAAGGGGTTGGAAGGGACCTCTAGAGATCATCGAGTCCTACCCCCCAAAAAGCCTTACTTTAACCTAGCCTGAAAGATCCACCTGCTAAATCATTATCTATTTGTTTCTTCAGGAAAGCAAGAAATCTATCTAAAAACACAGTGTGGAAAAGCTACCTGGCATCACTGAGAATAGTGTTTCTCCCAGAACTGGACAACTCCTGACGTAATCAACAATGCTGTTGCATAAGGACAGGTAAAAACAGCAGTTACATTACACACTGATACTTAGTGCATTAGAAACATAGATGGGTGTATTCAGTCAGTACTTGGAAATAATCTTTCTTTCCATATTGATACTCCTTTATCTGATGAAAATCCTACAAGGGTCATAAGCAAAAGAAAGAAAACAAATGACCAAGCAAAAAATCTCCATGCAAATTTAAAAAATAATGGGATACTTGTAATTTGTAAGTTGAGCATTTAGCACGTCCTGTTGTTTTCTACAGGTTCAGTTCCAGAATGACTGTCATCACCTGATCTTAGCAATGAGCAGTGAGTTATTTACAACTTCACTCACGTATGTAAGCACAGGAGGCAAGCATTCCTTATAAAAAGCAGGATGATTAGGATCTTTGATGATTAGGAACTCCGCTGGTTTCCAAAAATCCAGGCATAAGGAGAGCATAGCAGGGAAAGCCAGAGAGGTGAGCACTGTGTTCTCAAAGAGCGCTGAACGCAGCAGCCTGCGTCATGTGGGACTGCACTGGGGCCAGACGATGCTCTACAGAAGCTGAGGGGTATTTTCTCATGAGCTGCAGAAGGCTTGCAGGGAATCATGCCTCTGCAGATTACAGCTTAAGGTAAAAAATGAGAAGAGAACCACAAGAGGGTACAGAGGTGGGCTGAAGGAAGGACTGAAGACCTTGAGTGCCAAAGCATATGCACAGCATTGCTATCATGCCAAGGAGGCCTTAAAGGCACCTGTCTACAGCAGGTGCTGTGGTATCTCAAGGAAACGTGCATGATCCATCTCTAAGCTGAGCAGTACAGGCAATACACTGGAAGGAAAGAAAGCCATCCAGAGGGACCTGGACAGGCTGGAGAAGTGAGCCCATGAGAACATAATGAGGTTCAATAAGGCCAAGTGCAGGACGCTGCACTTGGGTTGGGGCAATCAAAGGTGTTTACACAAACTGGAGGAACATCTGGAAAGCAGCCCTGCAGAGGAGGACTTGTGGATCCCAGAAGGCCATCTATGTTCTGGGCTGCATTAAAATAGGGGTGGCCAGCTGGGAGAGGGAGGTGATTGTCCCCCTCTACTCAGCTCTTGTGAGGCCCAGGCCAGCAGGGGGAACGGCTGTTTACGAGGGTGAGTGGTGATAGGACAAGGAGGAATGGTTTTAAACTGAGACAGGGGAGGTTTAGGCTGGATATTAGGAGGAAGTTTTTTCCCCCAGAGAGTGGTGAGGCACCGGAACAGGTTACCTTAAGGAGGCTGTGGATGCCCCATCCCTGCAGGCATTCAAGCCCAGGCTGGATGTGGCTCTGGGCAGCCTGGTCTGCTGGTTGGTGACTCTGCACACAGCAGGGGGTTGGAACTGGATGAGCACTGTGGGCCTTTTCAACCCAGGCCGTTCTGTGATCTCCTCCAGCTGAGTGTGCAAGAGGCTAGACTGTGTGCCTGAGAAACCTGGAAGCATCTTTGTGTGTTTGCTGCTCACTCCACCCCCAGTCCCAATTCTGGAACACGTCTCTTCCAGCTCAACCAGCGTTCTCAACTTGATCTGGAAGATCCGCGCTGTTCTGCGCTGCGCAGAGTAAAACAGCCTGCATGACCCACTGCAACCACAAAGCCAACCTGCAGAAACCTGAAGAGCCAGCAATGGCAAAGAAGGTTTGAAGATTGAAACAACCAACACCAGCCTCCTCAGGATGAGGAGCTCCAGAGCACTTGCTGCAGCCACCTGTCACTGGTGAGGGACACAGTTGTGCTGCTTTCCCTGGGAACGTGCTTAGCCCAACACCCTGTTGGCAATTCCCACTCCTGCTGTTGTCTGGCTGCCTTGCACTGCCTGAGTGTTGAGGAGGCAGCTGGGATGGGCCAGGTGCCAGTGCAAGGAGTCCACCCATTCAGCTCTGACTGTGAGGGAAGCATCAATCCCACATGTTGGGGAAGGGAGGGTGGAGAGAGGAGCAGCTCTCCTGCCAATGGGGGCCTGCAGAATTACAGAATTCGCATTCTGAACAAACAGTAATTTTGCCCCCAAAACAAAAAGGGCTGAACAGGGGGCTATTCCTCTAGGTTATACACTTCTGCTGCCAGTTTTGTCTAGTTAGCACACACCATTTTCTCCTCTGGCTACTGCCTAAGTAGAAAGGATCTGGAACTCCACATCGAGGCTTCCTCATCCACCTGGAGAAACAAAAGAGCAAGAAAGAAAGCTGATGAGTTTGGAAAAGATTCAGAAGACCTCCTAGGGATGACCAACACAGACACCAAGAAAGGCTCAGCCTTCCCTCTGTGTACAGAGTTGTAAACTCATTAATAATGTTGACTTACCTTTTTAAGACCTACTGTCATTCAAATGCAGCAAAGTCAGAACAATAAGAAAAAGCACATCTTTCTTGTGCAACGTTTACCAGCAAGCATAACAAAAGGTAACAAAGCCCCCAGGATACAACACTTGCCCCCAGCATCTTCAGGGTTCCAATCCCACAGTCTTGGCCAACTGGGATGTGAAGGTTAGGAATGCTGGGAGACCTGCACCTCAAGCTGCAGAGAAAGGATTCAACTTTATACAGTGACCAGAAACTCCTCACAGAACAGAGATTTGATCCTCTTGAAATTGGTTACATTCACACACAATTAAAATACCAGCTGTACCTTCCTATCTCAGAAGAGCCATTCCTTAAAACCAAACCGCTCTCAACAGCCTCCTTGAGGCACTTGATGTTAATATGGCCAGTAATTTCAAAACAAGGTTCTCTGCACATCTTTCCCAACACCGCAGGAAATATAGATAGCATTGGAACTTCCACATCAGATGAAGGGAGCTGAGTAGAACTGTAGCTCTTCTACAGACTCAATTCCCCACAGATGCATAAACAGAAAGTTCAGTAGACCTTTCAGTTCAACCAGCATCCAACCTCCCGATGTCCGCCCTTCACAGCACAAAAGTGAGGTGAATTTCACTGCCAGGCCACCTGGGCTCAAAGCCTCTGCCCGTATCCTCTGCAGTAATGGCCAACGTCACACTTGAGTCTAAGGCCCCACCTGAAATCCAAGTCCTGTCACAGCAGGCGCTGTACGAACAGCAGGAGCTCAGCTCCCTCCTGAAGCACAAACACTTCTTCCCCCAGAACTGCCCCTTGGCTGGGTGGGAGGCAGCAGCCCCAGTGCTGGGGAGCGGAGAGAGGAGCGGCTCCCACGCCGTTGGAGGCCCGCAGATTTTTGGAGGGCCATGTGGGTAGGTGCCATGTGGGAGCTTTCTGCCCTTTTCTGCCCGTGGCCCATGCCAAATATGTCATTTTATGGAGTTAACAAGGAGTAGGAGAGGAGCTGCGAGATGAGGTGGAGTTAGCCTGGAGAAAAGGGATTGGAGTGCATGAGTGTGCAAGTGTGTCTCTGTGTTCCTACCTCTGACCCAGAGGACAGAAAGTCGGAGCAGGAGGTAGCGGGCTGCTGGACCTCCCACTCGGGGTCAAAATCCCCGTGCAGCCTGGCACCAAGCCTGTCTTCTGCAGGGCAGAGCAGGGGAGAAGTTGTAACATGATGATAAGCAGACAGCAGCTGTCCCCTCCCACGTCTAAGAACTTCTGGCCCCATAGTACATCATTTAGTGAAGCTGAAAGAGTCTAATGAATTAAAAACTGTAAAGACAAACATTTTTGCAAAAATATATGCATAAATAACCACCACTCTATTCAGTGTTGTGCTTGCTTTGTGAATGACCAGCAAACAGTTAATTCTGCTGAATAAAAACGGAGACCTTTGTGTGGATTCTGACTCTATATGTTCATTGCTATGCACACGGGGCACAAAGATTAGGGATGAGAAGGGCTGTGGTACCTCTCACAGATCAGCCAGGTGGAACAGGGAAGATTCTCCTCCTTCTGGAGGAGAAGAGTGGAGAAAACTTGGGAGGAGGGAAGAGGGAGTTGAAGGAAAGAAGGAGAGGCAGAAAGCCCTGTGCACTGATGCAGAGCCTCCTGCCTTGTTCGATGTGGTGCAAGAAACCGAGGGTGACACTGCAGGAAGGAGGGCCAGGGAAGCAGGAAGCACGGCAGCTGCAGACAGGCTCCACGGGTCTTTGGGTGTTTTGAAGGTGAAAGCTGTGGGGATAGGTGAGAGGTGTGGCCCTCCTGATACACTCCTACACAGCTACTGAAGATGATTTTGAGGCAAAAAGAGAGCGTTTCAGAAAATAACCTGCAGGCACAGGGCACAAACAAAACCGTCAGCAGCAACTCAGGCAGAGTATCTAGTCTTCTCTGCTAGGAAGTGCAAAGGAAGGGAAGACACTGAAATGCTACATGGTATTTTCAGTCCGTGCTTCTGGCTGGAAAACAACTTTGGCTGAGCAGTCAGGGAGGTTTCCAGCACTGCTCAGGGCTTGTTTAAAAGCAGTGATTCTGTGCAAATCCCTCCAACTCCAAAGCTTTTTTCTCCCATGAGGCAACTCAGTCACAAGAGAGTCACCTAACACTATGTCACAGGTAGGTTAAGGATAACCACATAGCTATCCAGTGCTCTGGCCTATAAACCAAGTTTCCACCTTTAGTTTCGTCCCTCTGCCAGACCTTGGAGCAAGCAGCACCAACGGCTGGGCATACAGCGTGCCAGCAAACATGAGGAACATGCATCACACATACATCACTTACCTGAGGGCCGCACCGACAGAGACAAATGAGATGGAAACAAAACATACCTACAAGACACAACTTGAATGTATATTTATTATATATATATATATATACCTTTGTATAGATTAAACTGGGTGGAATTTTATCATATACATTTTTCTGGTATAATACATGAAAAACTGGAACGGGGACATAGCAAATACAAATCCATACATTCCTTGAGCAAACTCTTTGCCACACTGAGACTGAAAGACTGCATGCAATGGGGAGACAGAGAGAAGGGAAATAATTTTTATTTAAAAAAAAAGAAAGACAATCTAGGTACAACTGTCATCAGAGAAGCAGCACTAAATATGGCAAACCAGTATAAATTAAAAAGTAAATTCCACTCGGACATCTACTATGCCTTAAAGTGCAACAAAGCTTGATTGACTGCCCTACAGAATACAGGAAAGATCACCCCTCTTCCCATTCCAACCTGCCCCTCAAAAACAAAAGCAAACAAAAAACACAAACCAATAAAACAAATCTAAAGGATATACATTATCCACAGTCATACAGAGACGCCTACATCTACTCAGTAGCACCAAGAATCTGATATGGGTGTAATTAAAATCAATTAAAACTCAGGAGCAATGATTACATTTGTTGTTTTTGCAGACTTTCTGCCCTTTACTAGTGTCTGGAAGGAGGAGGCAACTCTCTTTGTACTGAAAGTGAAGGTGACAGTGTCCTGTCCTCTCTCCACCAGCAGCCAAACTGTTTTGGCAGCAGGCTGGGAACACACACACACACACACACAGCACAGCGAGAGCAGCAGGAGGTTACGCCGAGGGGATGGGAAGCCGAGGCCTGATGTGTGTGCCTGGCTGCCTGTATGTATATGCACACACACGTGTGTGGATGGAGCGGGGCTAATCTACACAGAAGTGAAGGGTTGTGCGAGTCCAACACACGCCATGAGCCTCTTTGGTGAGAGGGTGATGGGAAGAGGGAGGAGGGAGAGACAGGGAGTCAGCGCTGTCCCCCTCTCATGAGCCTCCGGTCGGGTCGTTGTCTCTCAGGGCCGGGAGCTCATGTGCCACAGTTATTCTGTCTCCACGTGCCACCTCTCGGCAGGCCTCAGTAGCCAAAGGTCTCCTGGGAAGCGTAGACCATGTAGAGGAAGCCATCCTCATCCTTCTCCTGCTCGTAGATCTCTGAGATGGGAGTAGACACACTCACCATGCTGTGCTGGTTCACCAGCAGGAAGAAAGCCTGGGTGGGATTCAGCTGCAAGCGGCGCCTGTGGGAGCAAGGGCAGGAGGTCTGGGTCAGCCCACTGTGAGAGCGAGTCCTGCCTCCCCCACAGCACTGCTCACATGGGGCCAGGCTGGCATCAGGACGTGCTGCTGGTGAGCCACACTGAGCTGCTGGGGGCTCTTGGCCTTCTGAGCTGGCAGGACTCAGCAAAGTCCCTTTCCCCAGGCACTGCTGCAAAAGCAGAGGGCCTTCCTCCTCCATCTGAGCTGAAGGAAGGAGACTGAAGTCCCCCTCAGGAGTATCCTGAGGGAAAGGTAACAGCCACGTACCCCTCACACAAACAACTGGCAAAACTTGCTGTGGTTTTCCTGTCCTCCGTCTGCTCCCTCAGCAGCTGCCTCTGCCTCATCCTCACCCCACCGCTGTGTGTTCACAGCACGTCAGTCAGGCCACCCTACTCACCGGATTATTTTGACCAATTCACTCATGTTGACATGGTCTGGGACAAGGAACTTGGTCTTGTCCAGCACTGGCAGCTGTTTCTCCCCTTTATAGCGTTCAATGATGACCTGGGAAGACAGCAAAGAGGAGGTTTATTCACAGTGTTCCCAACCCTTGGCCACAAGATCGTACACAAATCAAACTGATACAAATGGAAAAGATGAGGTGAGACCCCACCTTGCTTCTCCCTGGCAGAGCAGCAAAAACAGGTCACAAGCAGTGACCAGAAGGCTGGCTGCAGACCATCTTCAGCAGAGCCATCTCTCTGCTTGAACCCATCCACAGACAGCATCCAAGATAAGCGACTAAAGCATCACCTGCTCCGGCTGAATGTGAAACAGTGGGCCACAGTGCACCTCCCCTACCATGTGGGAGATCTGTAACAGCAGCAGTGTACCAACACCACTTTCAGACTTACCAAAACTGAGCTAAGGACCTAACTTCTACTTATGTGGTGGAAGGGGCCAGAGGGAGGGAGAAGGGAGCTGGCCCAGCCTGACCAGTCCTGACCAGACAGCCTCTGCACAGCAAGAGATGTTTTCCTTCCCCTTTGCTGCATGAAGCTGCACTTCAGCATCACTCAGCCTGTTTAAGAAAAGCTGTAGATATTCCCAAACAAAGTTCTTAAAAACAGCTGCGAAGTCACCTAAGGCATTTCTTCAGAAAGAGCAGCTGGGTTTTGCCAGTCCCGTTCCACATGTTAACAGCCAGACATCAACTCCACAGCTAATCAGAAACCCACAGCCACTTCAGCACAGTGCCACGAGGGAACAGCCCGGCCTGTCCTCCCCCACCAGCAAAAAAGTTCTCACCACACCTACCTTCTGAAAAGACAAAACAAGGATTTCTATCCACCTTTCTCATCCATTATAATTAATGAATGTCTTTTCTGACAGCTACAATTACTATTCTAAGCCAACCTGGAAATGTGCTGTTTGTTTACTAAGAAAGGTGGTAGGCATTTATAGTAATAAATGATCTTACTTAAAAAGCTCAATTAATTCCCCTTAGAGTGACGTTTGGACTCCCACATCTCTCCAGTACCCAGTTATTTTCTCCACAGAGTGACGCTTGTATACTAATCCATTCGCTGTGCTCTCCAAGTTGAACTGAACATTATTTTCCACTTATGGCAATTCCCAGAAGCTGTTTTCCCAGCTCCTTCACCAGAGAAAAAGCCGGGAGACCACAAACACCTTTGGCAGTGGAGGAGCAGAGATCACAGGGCCCAGGAGATGGCTCTGCAGAGCTAAAAGGAAGATGTGAACTCAGGAAGCATTGCTCCATTCACCTCTCTCAACCATCTGATGATGCACACTGGCTTCTGCCACCAGCAGCAACGCATTTCTTGCTGCCGGGCACAAACAAAAGCAGTAAGCATCCCTGGGGCCCCTGCAGACACCTGTCAGAGGGGTGCTGGAGGAACATCCAGATCTCTTCCCACTGCAGAAAGCTTCGCGCCCATCCCACGTCCTTTCTTGTTCTCTCTGCAGCAGAGGCTGCCCTGGGAAAGAAGCAGTTCTCAGCCAGCCACTGGCGGGCCCTCACCACCAGCAACAGCAGCCCTGCATCTCAAGCATGCAATGCTGCATGCCCTGTGCAGACCTGATAGGGAGCGGTGGGGCCGACGGCCTCCGCACCATCTCCCCATGTAGGAGCTCCTCCCTTTGCTGATACAACAGGACGCTGTGGGAGCACAGAGCTCACCGAGAGGCTGCCAGCAGCACCCAGTGCCACAGCCGGGCTGAGCCGCACACAGCCTGCACACACACACTGTGCTCTAACTGTAAACTAATGTAGAGCTGAGCAGTGCGGAGATTGAGTATGGGGAAGCACCCAGAGAATGGAGACAGCTGTGGGGAACAGAGGAGATGTAAGGAGAAGAGCTGAGCAAAGCTCTCAGGCTCTGTCTTCATCAGAGCCAAATGAGACACAGGTGCTGGGATGCTGCAGTAGCAGCAGCAAGCTGGAACATCTGACGAGTGCCCCATACCATGGGCTTATCTCACAGCCCACCAGCATGGGCTGAGCTTCATCTCAGACAGTTCCCAGACAAGGGAGAGGTGCAAGGCACTTTGGTAGGAACTCTGCACCTCAGTACCCTCTGAAACTCACACAAGGCAACCCAGGAGCCCAAGAAACAGGACAACCAGCATACGAAGGGCCTCTGAGCCCTCTAAGATGCTCTCATACTGGCCACATCCCCTCTTTCACCAGTGCAAAACAGCATGAAAAAAATAAGTACTGCTCCTTCAGCCCCTTTTGCCATATGGGGCCTTGCTGAAAGAACAATTTTCTGTACCAGGACGCCTCTTACCACCTGCTAACTTCCCTTCCCCTCTGCAGGAGGGATGGCAAACTCAATCAGGGCCACCCCGCTATACTTATTTGAGTCTCACTTTCACAGATGAATACTTTGGCTACAGGGAGATGAAGAGACTGGAGGGACTGGGTGCTCACAACTGCCACCTGCAGGGATGCAGCTCTGCCCACTGGGAAATACAGAGGCAACACCCAGAGCTTCAGATTTTAACAGCAGTTTGCACAAAGGGTGACAGTGACAGGCAGCTGCTCACACACTGCATTCTGATGTAGAGAGGGCCCTGTGCAGCCGCACTGAGGCTCATTTCTCACTTATCTCTAAGAGGAACAGAGGAAGGCATCTCTAATTACCAGCCAGCTCCATGCCACAAACAAATGCCTCTCAATTAACCCAAGAATGGGCTGAGGAGGATGTCCTGGCTGCTAAAGAAACAGCTGCCTTGTGCCTCGAGCAGACACAGGGTCTCCAGGAGTTTCTATTTCCAGAACACGAGCTGCTATTTGGGTAACCCAGTTAAGGGAACAGGTGGCCAGTGGACACAAAGTTCTTGTCTAGCCAAGGAGAGAAATGTATGATCAAACGCTAGTATTACATCCCTGAGGCCTTGGGCTTGGATACCTCCCTTCTGGGTCCTCTTCCAAGCTGCTGCCTCAGATGGGGGGTTTCTCCATGGGGGTACCCACCAGCGTGAGGAACCCTCTGCGAGCCAGGCACAGGTGGGAGGGTCAACAGCAGAGCCTGGGTAGCACTTGCAGACACGAGCCTTGTTGTAGGGCCAATGCTGAAGAGCTGGAATGGTTTTGTTAGGGAGTGGGACCAGAGATGGCAGCCTGACAGAGGCAAGGCAGCTGCAGCTCCATGTCTCCAGGTCCGACCACCAGCAAGACTCAGGAGGCACAAACACAAATGTGTGTTTAGAACACACATCACACAGGATGTGCCTGTGCATGGCAAGTCACACAGATCAGCACTCACATGGACATCACCAATAGCTTCCTGCGTCCTCCCCAGCAGGGTGGAGATCCTTCAGTACAAACATACACAGTAATGCTCAGCCCCAGCGGGGCTCATCCTGCTGCCTACCTGCCCTGGACAACGACAGTCCTTGGAACAACCCTGGCAGGAACCCAGAGCAACCCGTTCCTTTCTCTGAGGATGCAGTTTAGGTTTCCATCCACCACTTTGGATCCCCTGCCTTATGCCTCCCCGTGCTCCTCTGTGGGTGTGAAGATGTGTTTCTTTTACCACATAACCTTATAGATATTTCTTTGTGTGCACCAAACAGACCCTAAGCCTTTGCTAATGCATCCTATGCAACAATACTGCCCGTGAGTCACCAGGTCTCACTTAGCTGAGCAGGTTGGGTCAAACAGCATCGCTCCCCTGTGATTTTAGATTCTTCAAGGCTCACAAGAGCTGGCTTTAAGCCCTCAAAGGGCCCAGCCTCAACGAGCTCCAGAAAGAGATGCTGGAGCTGACAGCCTGGGCAGGCATAGGCTTGGTCTGTCCTCTAGTGGGCAGATGATTTCTAAAGTACCTGCTGCAGGCTGTGGCCAGAGCTCCTAGCAAGGAGGCATGAAACTGAGGAGGCAGCCCTGAAGCACAGCCTGCCAACACTCCTGCCAGCAGGAAGGTGTGACTGCAGCCATCTCCACCGGGGCCATCTGCCCCATCAGCCCAGTGCTGCATTGGCACACACTGCCATGCACAGGCAGCCCTCTGATGCAGGTGGAGAGATTTTAAGAGATCGTTACGAGAAGAGCAAGAATCGGCACTTACCGGGATTTTGTTTGGATGCTGCTCTCGGATCTGCTGTACTTCTTTACAACGATCCGCTGGAAGGAAAAAAGTAAAGCAAGGAAGTTAGAAGTAGCTGACTGTGCCCTGCGAGCCACAAACACACAGCAGGGACATGGCAAAAAAAATACAAATGCTTCCTCAGACCATTCCCACAGGCCTTGCAGCAGGCACTCTCAGGCAGATATCAGCTGCAGCGAGGAGCCCTTTGGAGTTTCTCACCACCCCAATCAGCCCCCAGAGCAGCTAAGTGCCACCCTGCCCAGTAAAACACGTGGAAATGGAGTGACTAACATGAGATATAAGGATCATAAAGCCATACTCTTAAATCCACATGAGCGAGTGCAGCTCACACCCATCAAAGCTGGGCAGCAGCAGCTTTAGGGTCTCAGCTCTGATCAGGGTCCTCCCAGCAGCTCCTCCAGGGGAGCCTCCAACCAGGGCTGGGTTCTGCCCATTTCCTCTGCCTGCGCTATCTGGCAGAGTGCCTCTGCCCTAAAGAGACGTGCCTCGCCAAGAAGAAATCCTGCACTATTATAGATCTGCAGCTACAAGAGCTCTTGGCCTGAGAGAATGCATCTCTAGACCTGTTGTGGAAATAAGGATAAAAATTAAGCAAGAAGAGTGATTTCTCTGCAACCATCCTCAAACATTCTAACCCAGTTTCCTCCAGGGTTCATACCCTGTGACACACAGCTCATTCTCTCTGTGCACATTCCTCCATGTTTCTCCCCTGCAAGAAGCAGGCGGTGCTCACCCACAGTCCCCATCCTGCCTGGGAGGTGGGCATGGGTCCTCATGAAGGGACCCACCATGCCACACAGGAATGGCTGTAACACTGTCTTTCATTTAACCTATATGTGGCCTAATTATGTAAAATTATGTAAATTAAGCAGCACTCCTGACTGGCAGGGACTGAAGCAGGAGAGAATGGAGCTGTTGTATGGAGGGGCTGAGAAACGATGTATGAGCTGCCCCCACCCACGGGGAAAGCCCCATTCCATGAAGGTGGGCTGCCCCCACACCACGATGGGAGAGCTCAGCACAGCAGTAAGGCAAAACCCTCACCTTTTATTGCCTACTCCCAAAATACTCCCTGCTGTGGCCCACTGAAAGACAGGAGTTATTTCTGTAGCTGTGCACATGACAGGAAAACCGCCTCTCCTCCGACTGCAGTTTCAGCTGTTGAGTACCATCAGCAATGCTGCAAACCATACAAAACACAGGAATCTCCACAGTTTTCTCGAGTCAGGTCCTTCCCAGGCTGTTCTCCCAAAGATTTGGGCATACAGCATCTCCCAAAACAATATGGGATGAGGTCATTATGCCAGCTAAGGAGAACAGTGAAAGAAGTTATGGCTTTTCAAGCACTGACCTCTACCAGCAGTGCCATGGGACACTGCTCTGCCCTGCACACACTGCACACAGGCGAGAGGACAGCACAGCAGCTCCACCCACCCCACATACGGGTGGGGAACACAAGGAAAACATGGCAAATCCTGCAAGAGTGTGGTTGTGTAAGGGGTGGCATTTTGGGGGGGAGAGTCAGGCACTGGTGCTGCCCTAAGGCAGCAGCCGGACACCAGGCCCAGCCCTGCCGGCTCTGACCAACAGCACTTGCACTAAGAACACACCACATGGACACAATGCCAAGGTCAGCAGCTCCCAAACCGAGCCAGAGCTGCATGGGAAGGGCAAAGCAAAGCAATGGACTCAGCCCCAGCCTCAGCCTTGTCTCCGGCAGTGGCCCACACAGCTCAGTGCACGTGAACAGGGCGCGTGCATGTGCCAATGCCCCCAGCAGCCACGGAGCTCTTGCTGCACACGCCCTGCAGCCCACATGGGGCTGATGTCTGTGGTCAGCCCCAGGACAGAGCACTGTTACTGTGGTTCTCTCACCGGGAGATCTCCAGTGTGGAGAATTGGATGGTGTGAAATCAGGATGCATCTGGGATGAGCTGGTGATGGCTGAAGGGGCGGGCACATTGCACAGCTCATTTCAGATGAAGGTCAATAAATATTTATGTAATGCACTGCCCTGAGGACTCTACCTACCAGGAAATCCACCCATGTTTACGTGCAGAGCTCACACAACAGCTGACCTGCCATCCCTGCCCAGTGTTGCAGAGCTCATTCCTGGCTAGGGCACTGCAGGAGCAGCAGCAGCCTCCCACACCTGGAAAGCAGGACAAGGCCCGGAGGCCAGCGCTGCCCTGGGAGCTTACATGAGACAGCAGTGTCACAGCAACTGGAAGTGTACACTCAAGTCAGGACAGTTGATCTCTGGTCACACAGCACGGTGCCCCCCTGCTCCAGGTCATGCAGGGTGCATATCAGACCCCCGCTGCTCAGACAGTGCTACTTCTGCTGGCAACTTCAGGACATCCACAACACCAGTGGGCATCTCCATGTGCCCAGCAAAACACAGAGACTCAGAAAAGCACAAAATCACATCACCATAGGGGATGCCAAGCAAAGAGACATGGCTGCAGCCAGGCAAGTAGAGCCGGGTCTGGGCAGGTGGACAGAGCCTGAAGAACAGAACAGTGCTTGGGCTTCAGCCCCTCAGCCTCTTCTCTTCACTTACAGCCCAGGGGAAAGGGATGCACCTGAAGCTGGCAGCCCACAGTTGGGGCAGTTGTAGTCTTCATTGGGTGGATGGCCAGGTCCAGACAGCGGTGGTGAATGGAGTTCCAGTCACTAGTGGAGTTCCCCAGGGGTCAGTATTGAGACCAGCCCTGTTTAATGGCTTTACAGATGACCTGGGCAAAGTGACTGAGTGCTGAGGAATGGGACTGTTCAGTCTGGAGAACAGAAGGCTCAAGGGGAGACCTCACCACCCCCTATAGCCCCCTGAAAGGAGGCAGGGGCTCAGCCTCTGCTCCCAGCTGATTAGTGACAGGATCCAAGGGAATGGCCTTAAGCTTTAAGGTTCAGGTTGGATGTTAGGAAAAACTTCTTTTCTGGAAGAATGATGATGCAGTGGCGCAAACTGCTTGAGGTGGTGGCAGGGTAACCATCCCTGAAGGTGTTTAAGAAACACAGAGATGTGGCACTGAGGGACATGGTCAGTGGGCACAGAGGGATGGGCTGGCAGTTGGACTTGATGATCTTAGCAGTCTTTACCAATTATAACGATTCTATGATTCTGTACCCAGGAAGTATCAGCTCTGATGCTCCAGAAAGGATGGATATGGTACAATCAGACAGGGAAAGAAATCACCAGCT